GTATACCTCTGTATGATGCTCAACTTCGGAGTCGAAGTTGACCATGACTTCAATATCAGGTCGAAGATTGGTGGCTGTGTCCCCGAAGATGGCTAATGAGACCAAATCGGTTCCGGAAGGCAGGCTCGGCCACACAGGGGACATATATAGGTGGGTGGTGCTGTAGAGGTGGGTGCTGACGCTGTAGAGGTGGGTGCTGACGCTGTAGAGGTGGGTGCTGACGCTGTAGAGGTGGGTGCTGACGCTGTAGAGGTGGGTGCTGACGCTGTAGAGGTGGGGGTTGCCCTAGTTTTGCGTGCGACGCGTTCCCACTGGGTCGCCTCAGTCCCTGTATTCTCCGCCGCACAGGACTCTGTGGTGACGTTGCTTCGCCAAGTTGGACTATCCCGAGCAAGTAACTTCCAAGTGCTGGGATTGATGTGAGCTTTGAGGAATAGTTTATTCTGCCCCCTAACTAAACGCATGCCCTGACAGTTCTCCATACATCAGCTGTTTTGGCGACCAGCTTTCAGGCATTCTGACAACATGGCCTGCCCATTCGGCTTCAGTGGGGACCTCCAGACATCCTGTGATTTCAATAGAAATCCAGTTGTATGACTTTTACAAATTCGCTGTGGTCTGGTGGTAGAGTATGCAGCTTGCCAGTGCCAAAGTCGTAGGTTCGCGCCCACCCCATTGCCCTAGTGGATTTTCTCGTTTATATTATTAACTATTATTATTATTATAAGTACCCGCGAGGCTGGTTCCATGAGCAAAATCCTTTCTTAGTCAGTGTTTAAAAGAGCCAGTAATAAAGAAAACGGAATCATAACGGCCGACATACATTGAGATGAATAACTAAAGTAATTCACCTTAACTTTCCACAACTGTCCACTTTAACTTTCCACAAGTATCTTCATATATTTTCATAAACCGTAGGCAGTGGGCGCACCTCTAGTAGCAATTTTTTTTAAGATTTACCACTGAGTGCTCTATTTAATAATAATTATACTTCTACCATACAATATTTGATAATGTAAGTATTACAGGATAGACACCAGCTCTTGCCGGCTAACAGAGTGGTGCACCAAAATGGTTTTGGAGAGTACTAGTACTCTCCTAATTGTACTTGCCGGGTCGGGGGGAGGAGAGGTGAGCTTCGGCTCTTTGGTCCCACCTTTCAACTGTTAGCCAACTGGTGTACTGGTTCTGAACTTATTGGACTCTGTCATACCTACAACTGCGTATGGAGTCTGCCTCCATCACCCGGTGTCTGCTTCCATTTCCAAGTTCATTCCAACTACTCTGGCACTGAAAAAAATCTTTCTAATGTCTCGGTAGCTCATTTGGGTATTCATTTTCCACCCGTGTTCCCTTGTGTGAGTATCACCCGTGGGAACTGAGTCTGTCCTTATATACCCCTATCAATTCCCCCTGAGAATTTTGCATATGCTGATCATGTCTACCCTAAATTCACTGTTCTCAAGTGAAATAAAGTTCAATTCACGTAGCTTTTCCTCGTAACTCATACCTGGTAGTTTTGGGACTAATCTGCTGGCATATTTATGAATTCATACTTGGCATTTGGCACTTTATCTTCATAGTTCCCTTCCCTTCCAGTTTCGTCTTGTACTTGACTGCATACTGACTGTACGCTGGAGCCGCATATTCCAGGATTGGTGTGACATATGTGACATACTGGGCTCTAAATGATTCATAACACAAATTTCTAAAGGCAGTTCTCATGTTAGCTAATCTCGTATATTCCGCTGATGATACTTATGATGATGTCTTCTCTTTCTCATTTACATCAATGACCTTCCATATGGCTCTCAACACCAAGCTATTTCTATTCATTGATGACATACCTTCATTTTATCCGGTCCTAACCCTGTTATTCTGAATGACGTGAATACTGACCTAAAAAATAGTCCATCTTTGACTGCTAACAAACTCGCCCTTAACAATGATAAAACTTTCTATATTTTGTTTGGTAAATAATCCACTGATCAAATTAACCTAAGAATTAACAGTATCCAAATTAGCAACGGAGAAATTCCTTGGTGTTCTCATTGAAAATAAGTTGAATTTCCAGTGTTATATACTAAATATAAGAAAAAATATAAAACAGTTGGCATTCTTTCTAAAAATTAGGTACTATTTTAGAAAGTACTAAATCACTATCCTCGCCCTGCCCTAGTAACACACATTACTCGCTCATTTATCCTTATCTCATCTATGGTATTTGTGCCTGGGGTTCTACTGTCCAAAATTATCTACGACCTCTAATTACTCAACATTAATCAGCAATTAGAACAATAACAAACTCAATCCCCAGAGAGCACTCGGCCCCCTTACTTAAATCACCTTGTGTCCGGCCTCCTGGTCCCTATCTAGTTTCATTATTTTACATTTACTTGAGTTAAACTCTAGTAGCCATTTGCTGGACATTCATTCAATTTGTCCGGGTCATCTTGTAGCCTCTTGCTGTCTTCCTCTGACGAGTGTTAACAATTTGGTATAAACAGGACCCATGTGTGGGTCGAGAGACCTGCTGAAGTATTCCCTCAGTTCTGTGTTCTTAATCCCACAATTAAAGTAAAAAAATTTATAATTATAAGAATAAGAGTATAAAAAAATACGATAATATTTAAATAAATTATAATGTTCCTACATGAATAAATTACAGGTTAATTTAATTTAGTTTGAGTCGAACATTCGTGTCAAGAACTTTTTTACATGGTTGATATAGCAGTATACTTGGTGTAGTCATACATGCCCAAGGAACAATACTACCTCCACCATGTTACACAGACGACGTGATAGGCTGCTGGTCATCACCAGCGGCAGTCATACATGCCCAAGGAACAATACTACCTCCACCATGTTACACAGACGACGGGATAGGCTGCGGGTCATCACCAGTTCGTATCTTTCTCCACAATATCTTCTCCATCACCCTGGTACAGGTTAATCTTCATCTCATATGTCCATGAGACTCTTCCAGAACTTTACAGTTTGTTTTTTTGGTATATGCTTTGTAGCAAACTGTAACCTGGCAGTTCTGTTCTTGAAACTTACAGAACTTGTGAACCCTCTGAGGTCATGCAGGTGTTGTCGTCTTTGTGTTAGTCTTCCACACAACTACGTCTACATCGTGGAGGGTGTTCTTGACCTGTCCACAGGTACAAGGGTGTTTGCTTCACAAGTTAAAGTATGCTGCGGTCATTCACTACAGTCGTAAGTGCTGAGCATACCAGTGTGATGGTTCACACTATCTCACAGTATTCTCACCTTCCAGACCCAATAGGCTAGAGTACACACACTAAAACATTGTGTCACTCCACATATTTACGGAGAGCACTCACTTAACTTATACACATACAAATTCAGTATTATTGAAATGCGATTTGTATGAAATTTTATATTATAATATTTTGTTTGTCCCTGACCAACACTCCTGGCCCCTAGCCAACACCGCTGGGCCCGTGGCCCTAGCCAGCATTTCAGGCCCGTGGCCCCAGCCAGAACTCCTGGCCCTAGCCAACACCCCTGGGCCAGTGGCCTTATTCCTAGCCCGTCCCAGGTCTCCCCCACCGTCCCAGGTCTCCCCACACCGTCCCAGGTCTCCCCTCACCGTCCCAGGTCTCCCCCCACCGTCCCAGGTCTCCCCCCACCGTCCCAGGTCTCCCCCCACCGTCCCAGGTCTCCCCCACCGTCCCAGGTCTCCCCCCACCGTCCCAGGTCTCCCCTCACCGTCCCAGGTCTCCCCCCACCGTCTCAGGTCTCCCCCACCGTCCCAGGTCGTCCCCCACCGTCCCAGGTCTCCCCCCACCGTTCCAGGTCTCCCCCCACCGTCCCAGGTCTCCCCCACCGTCCCAGGTCGTCCCCCACCGTCCCAGGTCTCCCCCCCCCCGTTCCAGGTCTCCCCCCACCGTCCCAGATCTCCCCCAACCGTCCCAGGTCTCTCCCACCGTCCCAGGTCTCCCCCCACCGTCCCAGGTCTCCCCCACCGTCCCAGGTCGTCCCCCACCGTCCCAGGTCTCCCCCACCGTTCCAGGTCTCCCCCCACTGTCCCAGGTCTCTCCCACCGTCCCAGGTCTCCCCCCACCGTCCCAGGTCTCCCCCACCGTTCCAGGTCTCCCCCCACCGTCCCAGGTCTCTCCCACCGTCCCAGGTCTCCCCCCACCGTCCCAGGTCTCCCCCACCGTCCCAGGTCTCTCCCACCGTCCCAGGTCTCCCCCCACCGTCCCAGGTCTCCCCCCACCGTTCCAGGTCTCCCCCCACCGTCCCTGGTCTCCCCCCACCGTCCCAGGTCTCTCCCCACCGTCCCAGGTCTCTCCCCACCGTCCCAGGTCTCCCCCCACCGTTCCAGGTCTCCCCCCACCGTCCCAGGTCTCTCCCCACCGTCCTAGGTCTCCCCCCACCGTTCCAGGTCTCCCCCCACCGTCCCAGGTCTCCCCCCACCGTCCCAGGTCTCTCCCCACCGTCCCAGGTCTCTCCCCACCGTCCCAGGTCTCTCCCCACCGTTCCAGGTCTCCCCCCACCGTCCCAGGTCTCTCCCCACCGTCCCAGGTCTCTCCCCACCGTCCCAGGTCTCCCCCCCCCACCGTCCCAGGTCTCTCCCACCGTCCCAGGTCTCTCCCCACCGTCCCAGGTCTCTCCCCACCGTCCCGGGTCTCCCCCACCTTCTTCAGCATCACCAAACTTTCCACCGTCCGTCTGCAGGCGTCTTCACCTCCCCCATCAACATCTCCCAATGCTGCCTATCCTTGGCTCTTCTAGCCTTCCAGCGACCTAGCCAGCTGCCCCTATCCCTCAGTGACCTTACCCGGGCGTGCTGGCTTGCCGCCCCACCACACAGTGAGAGGACACACACTAACAATTTACCAGTGGGCTTGCGTGCCAACATAACATTTCAGCATTAACTATAAGGAACGTGTAGTACCGGCGGACATCAGACAAGGGGAAATTTGTAAATTAGTTACATAAAGGAAACAATATTATGATGGCCTACTTACATTTTGTGTGAAGTTTATAGTTAAAGAAGGAAAAGATGATTGAAAGAAGGCGTTTGCCTCGATGATGCTGCTGATGATCACAGCTCCAAATCAGCGCCAAGAAATGAATACACTGATGAATGAGCCACTATAGTCCTCGGCTCACCAGGACAACCACACTCCCTAATTTCCACAAGTATCTAGCTTTTCTGTATACAGTTAGTCATTCAACGTGAATATTGGTTGCAAGAGTATTATGTAGGGTGCGCATGGTGGCTACACTGGTCAATAAGTGAGGGACGGTGGAGTATGAGTTAGCAGGGAGGCAGCGAGGGAGGATCTCAGGTTGGGGAGGCGTGGCTTGCGGGTGTCCTCCCGGCCGCCTCCACCTATCGTACGCCACCGCGCTCTTCTTGTACCGCTTCCCACCCAACCTATTTCACAGATTCTTACCTCATTTTACCTGACGGCCATCATCTCTGGTGCCTTCGACCGGAACAGGGAGCCGGCGGCTTGTGAAAGGTCTCTAATTATACTGAGTAAACGTGATTTTAACTGATAACACGAATGTAAATTAACTCTTTTCAGTCTTTAAGCATTTGTTCCACTCTGCGCACTGAGAACAATGTGCGGCGCAGTTGATGACGCAGGTGTAAAGACTAACATGTGCATGTTAATCTGCAATAAAAAACACATTCTCGAACACACCCAGTATGACTACATTTACAAACAAACTCATACTTATCCACTACTTTGAAAATCCACGCCTTTAATTTAGTTCACTTATTATGCAACTATCATACCCAACTTGTGAGCGGTGGCGGAAAGTTTAGTGTCATATATAATGGGTTTAAACCTGAACCCTAAAATTCGTTTAGCTTAGCAAGTTACAGCACTGATGAACTAGTAACATACTTTGATGAAATATAAAGATACTGTTGATTTATGTTATCAAACTAACGTCACCGTGACCTCATTAGGCCATAACACAGTGAAAGGTTGTTTGTCGAGACAGTTACATACATTTATAATTTACCTATCATCAAGTAGGGAACGTTTTCAAGAGAAACCTAGATAATTTTCTTCAAGAAGTGCCGAAGCAATCGAGCTGTAGTGGATATGTGGGCCTGCGGGCCGCTCCAAGCAATAGCCCGGTGAACCAAGTTCTCATAAGGTAAGCCTGGGGAGTAGAAAAACTCCCAGAAATCTCATCCAGGTACAATAATGCACGCCGCCCTCTCTCAGTGGGGACGGAGGAAAGGTTACAACTGTGTACTACCTACAGTTACCAAACTCAGAATAATTGCCTACATTTTCTGGTAGTAAATCATTTTGAATGAAATACGTATCTTGAACATTTGTTACAGTTATCTCTAAAATCCTTATTTTTCGCCTTCCATCATATAGTGATGCAGGGTGTACGAATAACTTTATTGATATAGTTTACATTAGGTCAGATCTACAGTGTGGGTTAAGAGATGCACCTCTCCTGTAGCCTCACAGGAAGGGGACAGGAAGGAGGCACTTTACAGCAGACCAGTCTCAGTAACAAGCATCCTCTGCAAAATACTCGATAGAATAATGAGGATCTGATAAATTAAACACTTGGAGAGTATTATGTATGTAATCAAACACCAACATGGCTTCTCTTGAGGTTATCTTGAGATGATTTCGGGGGTTAGTGTCCCCGCGGCCCGGTCCTCGACCAGGCCTCCACCCCCAGGAAGCAGCCCGTGACAGCTGACTAACTCCTAGGTACCTATTTACTGCTAGGTAACAGGGGCATCAGGGTGAAAGAAACTCTGCCCATTGTTTCTCGCGGTGCCCGGGATCGAACCCGGGACCACAGGATCACGCGCCCAGTGTTCTGTCCGCTCAGCCACCGGCTCCCGCAAGACTTAAGGCTTCAGGGAAGGGAAATTGTGATTGACTAATCTACTGGAGTTCTATGATAAAATAACGAAAATAAGACAGGATAGAGAAGGAGGGGCAGTGTTTCTGGACCGCCAAAAAGCATTTGACACAGTTTCGTGCAAAAGACCATTACACAAATGTGAGTGGAAGGTAGGAGTAAGTGAAAGCGCATTACATTAATATGGCTACCTAACAGACAGGAGTCAGAGTCGCGGTCAATGGTGAGAAGTCGGACTGACGAAGGGTAACAAGCATAGTTCCTCAAGGACCAGTGCTAGGACTCATACCATTTCTCATTTATGTTAATGGTCAAATTTCAGGAAGCTGAATCCTACATGTCTATGTACGCAAAGGATGCAAAATTAATGAGACGAGTCGAGACAGAGAAGATTGTAAAATGCTTCAAGATGGATGAGACAAGTTGGTCCGAGATATAGCTATGGGATTTTAACACCAGCAAGAGTAAGACAATAGAAATAGGAACGGATAACAGAAGACCAGCAGGACGGTCGGACGGACGGTACACGATGAAGAGAAACTATCTCCTATAACGACTAGGAAAATAATAAGGAAGAGAGAGCACGAACACCAACTCAAGAGGAACATTCAAATAAGGTAAAATCAGCAGCATATTCTACACTGACAAAAATCGTAACATCATTCAGGAACTTTAATAAGGAGGCATTTAGATCACTATTCACCACCTAAATGAGATTAGTCCTATAGTGTGAAGTCCTATAGTGCCTCTTTGTGAAGCCCCACTTCAAAGACCGCATAAGGAAACTTGAAAAGATAGAGGCTTGCAACTTGGCTTGTCTCAGAAGTACGAGAGATGGGATGCGAAGGACAAAGAGCTGGACCAGACCTTGCTAGAAAAAGGAGAGGGAAGACATGTTAGACACAAAATACTTAGGGGGACTAACAGATTGGATAGAAGAAATGTTCACAATGAATACCAATAGAACAAGAGGGCAGAGAAGGAGGCTTAAGAGATCTAAGAGGTTTATTTAAAATCCCTTATGACCATAGGGATTTGTTAGCGTAAAAGTAGCAGGAAAATGGAGTGATCTAAACGAAAAGATTGTAGAAGGGTACTTCATATTTTCAAACTTATCCAACCCATTCAAATCTAATTATACACCTTAACAAACAAACGAGCTAGATGTGTATTGACTGTGCAAGGTTTTCCTGTCGGCTACTCCTGAATATTCCCCTGAAGATGCCATACTCTTTAAGGTCGTGTTTGTTCCCCATGTGCTGATCAACATACTGTGTGCGGGGAGGGTACTCTCCTTCTTTAAATTAAACATTTCTCTCCAAAACTGGCGCCCTATTTTTTCTCAGTACTGTGCAGACGTGACACGGTGGGTTCTTCTTTGGGCACCTGTCTGGACCATCGGGACTTAAGTATTGGTGTTGCCTTGCGCTTTGCCGCCCCTGTCTCCACCGAACACCGGTGATGCAATCGCAGATGATCTGTGGCTATGCGTCGGCAGACCATACCAGCAGCCATAGTCTCATCTGTTGTGTCAGAAGGAAAGATTGCTAGATACGAAGCAGGCAATGACATCATCCAGAGAAGTTTGGCTACAGCTAAGTGTCCAGCACAAAGGGAACCTCAAATGTGCGTACCTGAAAACCGTCACAAGCGCTCAGATGGATGGATGGTAAACATGTGTAGGATCTACATTGGCTAATACCTATCTATGGCACAGTGGAGCTCAGGATGGTGGGGCTGCCATCTTCTGTGACGCCCAGAAATGTGAACCTTAAGAGAAAATAAAAGAAATTTGTTTCCAAGAGGCTTCGAACTTCTGCAACGCCGGGCAGGAACCGAAGATGCAGCAGGCAGTTTCCTGGCAAATTGGCAGATGCAGTTTATTGTTGACAAATGTAAGGTTTTGAGGCTAGATAATGATGAAAGAGCTACAGTATATGAGCTGGATGGTGTTAGGACTGTGAAGTCCGATCTTGAAAGGGATCTGGGTGCCTCCATCATAATTCTTATGATTAGTAAGAATATAGAACCAAAGAATTAATGCATAAATGTTCGAGATAAGACAAATAGGATATTGGGATCTATTTCCAGAAGCATTAGTAATAACACACCTTGTGTTATGCGCCCCATACTCACCCTGTGAACAGTAGTTTATTGTGCACTCACACTCATCCTGTGAGTGACAGTTTATTAAATTGTAATATTAAATTATACTTGTAATAAAAACATACGATGCCAATCATTTAAAAAGTACTTTAATCTGATTTTGTAAAGATATTTTCTAAGACAAAGCGAGTGAGCGACGGTGAGTTACTGTGGTGGCCGGGAGTGTCTGGGAGTCTAACTCCTCACCTGCAGCCTTCCTCTGTGTCCATCTTGTGCTTGGCGCTGGGGGCGGCTTATCTCGGCCCCTGCACCCCACTCCTGGACATCATCGCCACCCACTATAGCCACCCATCTCACTGTTATGGCCGAGATTTAGACAAATGCCGGTAGCCCAAGTATCGCTCACCTTTAATAGATGGAGGAGACCCGTCAGGAGTCGATACTGGCTCTTTACTTTGCTCTAGCATTTGTTTCATATGCATTATTGCACGTGGAGAATGTGTCTCACCGTCCCCCGTAAATGTCTTGTGTAGAGCCTAAATGGGCGAGAATATTAGTTAAGGGACAATAAGTGCCAAGTTGAGTGAGGTGGTGGAGCGAGCCGTGATGGAGAGGAGATACCGCACGTACCGGCTGGTCATCGTGCCCCAGCAGCGGGAGGCTGCGCGGCGTCTCCCGGGTTGACAAGCACGGTCCACTCCTCCAGTTTCCCCGTCCAGTATTGATTTGCTATTTGCATTTCCAGTGGTAATTTACATCATACGTAAAATGTATTGCAATATATGAGTCTGAAATATTATAAGGTAAAGGTAGCCCTATATAACTCATTTATGACAAATTTATCATTAGTCTTGCAAGTAAACTTAAAATAGGCTGCTTAATTTCTAGGCTTTTACATAGACAGAGCTCAGTTACTCTAGTTTAAAACCGGTTAATATTTTAAGTGGTATTTGTAGTATATTTTGATGTAATTCACTTGACAAGCTTCTTAATTAACAAGCTTGTCAAGCGGTTTAACATTTTAGAAGAATTGTTATTGTTATTTTGAAGGCAACATATAAATGCCCCTACCACTGATCACATAATTTCCTAGATAAAAACAAAACTAGAATCAACGTTTCGGATATATAATACATGCTTGGTACTATACATGTCACCTTATTTCCATCATTACTAACACGGCAAAGGAACAAGAATGTACACTTCACCACCAGGCTACGACGCCAGCGTAGGGCTACGACGCCAGCGTAGGGCTACGACGCCAGCGTAGGAGGCAGAGGGTGGGAAACTTAACTGCTTAATATACATAAAATGTCAACAATAGAAGTTCATTAACA